AAGATGTTCAAATCCTGTGCTAGAGAGTTTGGTAAATTTTGTTCTACCAACAGGCCAAATCTCCTGACGTGTTTTATTTTTGCTGTTGAGGGGTCTTTGAAGTTTCTTGGAAGAAGCCCTCGGTGCTCTATGGAGAGACAAACCAGGGTAAGCCGAGCTAATATGAGGAATGCGGCACACGAGCTTGAGGTTGCTGGTGCTAGTTGTCATTTCTTGCCAAGGCCTGGTGCAGCTTTAGTTGCTGAGAGTAGGAGCCTGGAGTTAGCTCTTTACTAAAGCATTAAGCCTGGGCTACAGCATTGCTGTCATCTTAGATAGTACCTTGTTTTGCATTCTTTAAAATATGGACTGTCCTTTTCTTAACTTTTTTATAATGATTTTTTATGTTGGTGGTCTGTGTTGAAAAACATTGGGGAAAGTAAGAATAATATGAACTCTAGGTCACTGCTACAGTTGTAAATTTCTAGGTGTGTGTTTGACATGTTTTAAAAATTTAATTGGAAAGCAGAGCAGGAGAAAATATGCTTTAAAAACACTTGCAGATCTTGATATATGAGCCAGAAATGGGGATGGTAAGGGATATGTTTGTTTGATGTGCAAAAATCCATTTAACATTACGTAAAACACCCCCCTCCTCCCAACATGCCCAACTCTTTGATGTGAAATATCAGGAGTCTCATAGCTGTTTTCTGTTAAAGTAGATAAGACAATTACAGGCTCTGGGCTGTCATTCTTAGGCAATTTTTTGTGTGGGTAAACTCATACTCTTTTTCTTCTAAAATTTTAGGGAATACTTTCCATATGTGGTCTTTATTCATTTTGAACATTAAAAATATTGTGTCTTGTATATACCCAGAGCTGTGAGAACAGCCTGGAAGAAGAAGAGAGAACTGCTGAGTAAGATTTCCTTGAAAGAACTCACAGTCTAAATTTGGGGAGATATTAACACAGATAAAGCAAAGAGTATACTCTACAAGATATCATTATATCATAAACTAAGGAAATTCTGAAATACAGTAATTCACTTAGGTCTCTATTACAATGTTTTTAAAAAAATTATCTCTATTGTTGGAAGATGAGATACTCCATTTGGGAATTTTTTCAAATAATTGAAACTTATCACCTTGATATTTTTATGACATAGAACATCATCTCTTCCTGAATGAAAATATTTTACATTTATAAGGTGATATATCAGGATCACATTGTGGACATTATATTACAGATTATTTGAGCTATAAATAAATTGATAAGTGGCCTTGCCTGATCTTTTTATTAGATGGTTGCAGAAACTGAGCCTAGAGAATGTCCCAAGGAAGAACAGGGACTAGAATCTAGCTATTTTTTCACTGTAGTAAATGATCCTAGGCTGTTAGGTTTTTGTAATGTTTCTCTTTGTTACTTATGGTTTTCTCCACATTTTTCTACACTGTCAGCCTTGCAGCAGTTTCTAGTACTGTCAAGGTACCTGGCTTAAACTGTGAAATGGCTTCTAATTGCTCCTCCCAAAAGTCAGTAAGTATCATGGAGAAAAGGGAAATGCTGATTAAGGGGTTTTGAGAAGACAAGCATGTGGTTTCCTGTCTTCCCCTCTATTCCACATTTTGTCTTCATCCTGGTTGACTTCAACAGTTCTGATGATGATGGATCTAAATGCTGGACTCCCAGTTCTTTGAGGGCCTCATTTCCCATGTTATTTACCTCTACTCCACTTCAGTCACTTATTTTCATGACTATTCCCTTGGCCTTGTCATTACCCAGACACTTTATCATTGAAACTTTAAGACATTCTTTGTCATTTAGTGTCTTTTTGACATCGTGACTTATACCCGTAATCTTAGCACTTTGGGAGGCCAAGGCAAGGGAAGCATTTGATGCCAGGGTTTCTAGATCTGCCTGGGCAACAGAGTAATATCCCAACTCTGCAAAAAAGAAAATTAGCCAGGTGTGGTGGTGTATGCCTGTAGTCCTAGCTACTCGGAGGCTGAGGATCGTTCCACTGTACTCCAGCCTCAGTGACAGAGTGAGACCTTGCCTCTATTAAAATTTAATAAATAAAGAGATACCTAAGCCCTTGAACTGATTTATATTTATTTTTCTGTCTCCTCCTCTGTTTTCTTTCCTGACCAGATGTAGTTCATATCAATCACTTTGATCACTTTCTTGACATTATTCGTAACTCCTTGCAACCCATTGTTAAATTTCTTAGTCTGTGATTAGTAACTTATGTAAAATGTCTGTGTTAAGTTTATACCAGAAAGCTGTTGGAAAGCTGAATAGCTTTGAGACGGGTGCCACCATAATTCAGTCTCTTACCTCATACAGTATTTTAATACTGTCCAAAATTTTCTCTATGTTTGCCTGGAACAACTCTCTCTCCTATTCTCCACAACTTACAAAGTTCTTCATTTTTTTCAAACATGTTTCTGTCTTGCTTTTGCTGTCACTATTGAGTGTTCTTACCCCACCGAAAAAGAAAAGAGCACCTCAACTGCCTGTCACCAACCCTAAAATATAGCAGCCTTTGAATGTTTTGTTTCCCTTTCCCCTTTCATTAAAGGGTATATTTTCAGCTAGGGACCAATTTTATTTTACTTTTCCACATGACTAATTAGTTGTCCCAATGCCATGCATTGTATAAGTAATTTCTTCACAGCCTTTTTTGAAAAAGTTATGACTCTATTTTTTCCTTGCATGCTTGCTCTGTTCATGAGCTCTCTATCTGGTTAATAAGCCTATTTCTCTTTCATGTATCAATTATCACATACTTTAGTGACCACAGCTTTTTTTTGTAGATCTTGATATCTGAAGGGCAAGTCCTTCTACACATTTTCTTCAAAATGATTTTATTCATTATTGGGGTTCTCTTTTATATGAATTTAGAACCATGTTAAGTTGCTTTTAAAAAGTCTTTTGGGGATTTTAAGTGGAATAGCACCGAATTTATACGTTAACTTGGTTGAGAACAGAACTCTTTATAAAATTGAGTCTTCCTATCCATGAATATGGTATATCCCTCCATTTAATTGTTCTTTTATCTCCTCTAATAATGCTTTTTATTTTTCTCTATGAAAGTATTTTCAGTATTTTTAGGATTTTCTCTGAGTATCTTATAATTTTTGAGGCTATTTTGAGTAAGAATTTTTCTACTAATCTTTCAAATCACTCAATGATCTTTGAGCATTATTTGCTCAAAGCAAGAGATCTGCCTAAAATCTTTCAAGATATTTTCATTGCCCTTGGTATTAACATTTAGACTCTGATAGGAGACACATATTTCTCTTAAACTGGTTCTTCTCTCCCCAGCCTCATCTTTCATACTAGTCTTATCATTCTCTTTAAATTCCAGCCACATAGGAACTGTGTTAACCTTGATTTATTTTTCCCCTTAGCTCCTCAGACCTATTGAATTCATGGACAAGTGCTGTTAACTCTACCTCCAAAACTCTATATCCAAAATGCAGTCATTTTTGTCATCTCCAGTGCTTATATTCTAGACAAAGCCAGAATTCTCTCTATCCTGGCGGATTATAGTAGCCTCTGATTGATTTCCTTGCTTCCTTTGTCAGCTCTCTAAATGCATTTTCTACATAATCATCAGAGTGATCTTTAAAAAATGTAAATCAGACTACGTACTTCCTCTGCCTAAAGCCCTTTGGTGGCAAATAAAATAAAAATCTCTTATTCTAAGAAAGCCATATAGGACTTGATTTCTGCCTAGATGCTCACTTTATTGCAGGCTACTGTTCTCCCTGGCCAGTATACTGCAGCCACTCTGATCCATTCTTTGTTTCTCAAACACATCAGGGCTTTGCAGTTTTTACTGTTTCCTCTGTCTTAAATGTATTTTGCCTAACCAAAATGTAAACAGTAAGAGAGCAGAGGCTTTGTCTGTCTTTTTGACTCTATTCCCTGCAAACTAATGGTTCAGTAAATATTTATTGAATAAATGTATGAATGCATTTATTTTTTGTGTCCTCGAGTGCACTGGAGTCTTGTCTTCAGTTCATCTCACACGTTTTTCTTTGCCTGAAACAGCATATTTCTCTGTCTGTCTCTCACAGCCTTTCCCACCTTTGCCCAGAAATATTACCATCAAAATATTAGTTTGGCTTCAACCTTTGGACAACCTTCCCTGATCCCTCCCCTGTCATCTTCCTTATGGACTTCTGGAGTATTGGTGACAGGGGTTTCTCATGTGTATACCTGTATACTATGTACATCTGCTTTCTTTTTTCTTTTCTTTTTTTTTTTTGAGATAGATACTCACTCTGTCACCCAGGTTGGAGTGCAGTGGCATGATCTTGGCTCATTGCAACCTCCACCTCCTGGGTTCAAGCAATTCTCATGCCTCAGCCTTCTGAGTAGCTGGGATTACAAGCATGCACCATCACACCCAGCTAATTTTCATAGTTTTAATAGAGATGGGTTTTCACCATGTTGGCCAGGCTGGTCTTGAATGCCTTACTTCAAGTGATCCGCTTGCCTCAGTCTTCCAAAGTGCTGAAATTGCAGGTGTGAGCTACCACGCCCAGCCTACATCTGCTTTTGTATCATTATATTTTCTACTAGACTGTAAATCCCTTGGGGGCAGGGATTATTTCCCCCACTGTATTTGCAATGTCTAGCACTCTGCCCTGCTCATGGTATAATTACTCAACAAATGTTTGATGAATCAACAAAGGAGTGAATGAATTCCTAAATGTTTTAAATTCCCAAAGCACTCATTTAATTTCGTTTATGTCTCTTTTCTATGTCCTAGAGTATTGGTAGTATCTGAAAAATAATCTCTAGATATCAAATTAATATAGCTCATTTGTGGTTCCTTTTATTTAAGAATCTCAGAGAAATTTAGAAATATTATTTGAACAAAGTCTATTTTTCTGGCTTTATAGTGTATCCCTAATGAAGGTAGATAAAAGTTGTTGACAGGAAAAAGGAATATTTTCCGGGCACTAACATACTAATCTCTGCCATTATTATTATTATTATTTTCTCAGGCCCCATCAACCCTTTAAATGCATCAAGAACATCCTGACCCAGGAGCAACAAAACACTTTGGACCAGTAAGTAACCTTTTTGGAGTAAATGTTCTGCAATTTGGGATTTGCAAATCTCTGAATTTGATATCGGTCCTCTATTACCTGAAGATTTTCTCTGGTTTGATGCTGGCTTCACTCCTTGTCTCTCTGGTTTCCTGGTTTATTCCATGTTGGTTCTCCGAATACTTGTGTTTGCTCATCTGTTGAGCTGCATTTTGGACCTGGGTGCAAGCCTTCTGTTTGCAGGTTACCTTCCCTTTCTGACACTCAAGCACTGGACCCAGCCATTGTTAATTTCCAGTTCCTCAGGGAGCAACAAATATTCTAAAACAAAAAAAGCAAAATATTTAAAAACCTATATTTACAGAAATATAGCATCTTAATCTTTAGTTTTACATGGCTGGTTAGAAGTTATAGTTTAAAAATTCTAAGTAGTAAATACTGCCTACTTAAAAGTGTTCTACATTTGAAATCCTGTTTATCTTGGATATTTTAATAATTAAATATTTTAAAATTACTATACCATAGATCAAATTTTAGCAATTAAATAAGAAGGATGATCAAAAAGGATGATTTAACCATCAGAAAGATACTGAAATTGCACATAACTGTGTGAGAGAAAAATTAATCTTCAAGCTGTATATTAAATTAAAGTAAAATTTAATTTCAATGATGATGATGATGGTGATGATGGTGATGATAAATTAATCTGGCATCTGTTAATACAATTAATACAATGGTAAGTTTAGTTCAGCTAACGTTCTGCTTCCTTGACAATCTAAAATATGGCATGATGAAGTTATTTTTTCACTTTGGCTTCAGCTAAAATGATTCTTTCCAGTTTTCAGGAGAAAACATTTGCCAGGAAACAGATTCTACTGTCCAGCTTCTAATGAGTTACTATAATCAGTGAGCCAATTTTTCTTTAGCCTAGGTAATATTTTACCAGTAATATTTTAAAAAGCATAAAATATGATGAAAATCACCTTTTCTCCATAACCATACCTAATAAATTTACCTTGTGTTATATGCTAGTTCAGCCTAAGAATAGTTTCAAAACATGCTTTGCAATTTAAAAATGTCCTAGAAGTCTAATATGCAGTAGTACCTAATTTTCAGCTAGGGTGAGGTGAAGCGTCAGAGCAGATACAGTTTACCTTGCCACAAAATAGTGCTCAGTAAGAAGCAATTATCAATGTGGTTATTAACCACCATAATTCATTTTCCTTAGGGGATTGTCTTCCCATTAACTATAGGTAAGTGAAAAGTCCAGACAAATTAGTAATTGGAGATAAAAAGTTTTCAAAACTGCATATGGCTGAAACACTGCAATAGTTCTATGAGTCAGGGGTTAGAAGAGAGGGAGAACAGAAATTGTTTATTTTTTATTTTTGTTTGCTTGTTTGTTTGTTGTTGTTGTTGTTTTTAACAGAGGCTAAGGGGAAAGAATAGCTACTTCAGTAAATGAAAATGGGTAGCCTAGAGTGTGTTTTTTTGTTTTTGGTTTTGTTTTTGTTTTGAGACGGAGTATCCCTCTGTCACCGAGGCTGGAGTGCAATGCACAATTTCTGCTCACTGCAACCTCTGCCTCCCGGGTTCAAGCAATTCTCCTGCCCCAGCCTCTCGAGCAGCTGGGACTACAGGTGTGCACCACCACATCCAGCTAATTTTTTGTATTTTTAGTGGAGATGGGGTTTTACCATGTTAGCCAGGATGATCTCAATCTCAGGACCTTGTGATCTGCCCACCTTGGCCTCCTAAAGTGCTGGAATTACAGGTGTGAGCCACCATGCCTGCCCCCCCCGCCCCCGCTTTTTTTTTTTTTGAAAGGTAGAAAAGCCCAGAATTCTAGAGAGCTGTTGACCCAGTTTTTCCCTTTCTACTGCCCCTGTTTGTCCATGATTGAGACAATTCTGGGATGATTTAACTTTATCTTCCTTTGTTTCTACTTTGAATCCTGTTCCCTACTGATTCTGAGGAGCTCTGCTTTCTGGATTATGGTCTCTGTCTTACATGTCTTAAATATCTTCGTTTTTATAACTTCTTTGTCCCAGGTCCTAGGCACACTCAAAGTGCTCCCTTCCAAAAACCAAAACTTATCACGAAAATCCTGTTTCTCCCCTCCTTCTTACCTTCAACCTAGCTATATATTCCTTTCTTTCATTTCTTCAAGTCCATATGCGTTTTATTTGCTTTTATTTTATTATTGAATTAAGTAGGAATTCCAGTACAATGCTGAATAAAAGTAGGGTGAGAGGAGACTCCCTGCCTTGTTCCTAATCATAGCAATAAGGCATCTAATTTCTCACCATAAGCATAAAATCAGCTGTCAGTTTGTTGTAAATGTTTCTCATCAGGTTGAGGAAGTTCCCCGCTATTCCTTGTTCAGTGAGAGTTTTAATCCTAAGCAGGTTTTGGATTGTCAAAATACTTTTTCTGCATCAGTTGATAAAAAAGTGTTATCTTTCATTAGCCTGTTGATGTAATGGATAACACAGATATTCTAATGTTGGACCAGGCTTTCATAGGTGAAATAAAATCCACTTGGTTATGATGTGTAGTTCTTTTTATGCATTGATTCTATTTGCTAATATTTTGTTGAAACTTTTTGTATCTGTGTTCATAAGAGATACTAGTCTACAGTTTATCTTTCTTTTCAAAAAATTAATTTTATTTTTTAATTATTAATTTAATTAGTGAACAAAAATTATATATATTTATGGTATATAACATGTTTTGAAATTGTATACACTGTGGAATGACAAAATCAAACCAGTTAACATATGCATTGTCTCATGTATGTTTCTGTGGTGGAGACCACTTAAAATCTACTCTTTTAACAATTTCAAGCATATAATATGTTGTTATTTATTGTAATACATACGATGTACAATAGATTTCTTGAACTTATCCTTCCTAACTGAAATTCTCTATCTTTTGGCCAACATTTCCCTTACCCCCTCCTTCTCCAGCCCCTGACAACCACCATTCTACTCTCTGGTTTCTCTGTATTTGATTACACTGGATACCTAGTGTTAGTAGAGACATACAGTATTTGTCCTTCTGTGACTGACTTATTTTCCTCAATGTCCTCAAGGTTCATCCATGTTGTCACATACAACAGGATCTCCTTCTTATTTAAGGCTGAATAAAGTTCCATCTTATGTAAATGCCACATTTTCCTTATCTATTCATCCAGAAACCTAAATTGGAAATTTGGGTTGTTTCCATATCTTAGATTGCAAATGATATTCCAGTGAACATGTAAGTGCAAATATCTCTTTGTGATCTTATTAAAACATTTTTTGGAAAAGTACTCAAAACATGGGATTGCTGGATCATGTTTTTAAAAACAGTTTCTACATTTCAAATTATAATTATTTTGAGGAAACTTCTTACTGTTTTCCATAGGGGCTGCACCATTTTACATTCTCATCAACAGTGCACAGGGGTTCTAATTTCTCCAAATGCTTGGTGACACTTAATATTATTATATACACTGTATTTTAATAGAAAAAGATCCTACCAAATGTGAGATAATATCCCATTGTGGTTTTGTCTTACATTTCCCTTGTGATTAGTGATTCCGAACATATCTACATACTTATGGTGGCCATTTATTTTTCTTCTCTTGAGAAAATGTGTATTCACATTCTTTGCCCACTTTCTTTTCTTTCTTTCTTTCTTTCTTTCTTTCTTTCTTTCTTTCTTTCTTTCTTTCTTTCTTTCTTTCTTTCTTTCTCTCTCTCTCTCTCTCTCTCTCTCTCTCTCTCTCTTTCTTTCTTTCTTTCTTTCGGAGACGGAGTTTCGCTCTTGTTACCCAGGCTGGAGTGCAATGGCGTGATCTCGGCTCACCGCAACCTCCGCCTCCTGGGTTCAGGCAATTCTCCTGCCTCATCCTCCTGAGTAGCTGGGATTACAGGCACGCACCGCCGTGCCCAGCTAATTTTTTGTATATTTAGTAGAGACGAGGTTTCACCATGTTGACCAGGATGGTCTCGATCTCTTGACCTTGTGATCCACCAGCCTCGGCCTCCCAAAGTGCTGGGATTACAGGCTTGAGCCACTCGCCCGGCCCCCCAGTTCTTTCTTAACAAGAAAACAGAAATATAGTAAGACTTCATAGCAGTCAAGAAAATATTTTTGAACTTAACTGCAAAGACAAAATCTTTCTATGGATATCTATAAGGTTAGCCAAGAGAAAGGAGAAAAGACCCAAAGTCAGTCAGAGAAAGGAGAAAAGACCCCAATTCAGGCAAGCACGTTTTATTAGCCTCCTGGGCTGCCCCGTAACAGTCAGAGGAGGCAGCCCTGAGCTTATAAAATGAGGGTTTATATGGATGAGAGAGGCATAAGGGAGTTTCAAGACTGAGATAATCTATCAGCTTGTAACAGGCACAGTTTTTAACTGGTAACAGACTTACAATACATCATCCTGTGACTTTTGTGGCTGTAGTTAAAAAAAAAACAACTCAGGATTTTACAGGTATATGTCAAACAGGAATTGACAAGTATGAATAGCAAACATTTGCTTTCCCTGTCCTCCCCCAAGCTGCCTGGATGGTTGTAACCAGGCTTTGCTTAATTGTAGCACATCTGGCAGCCTTGATGTGGTGCCTAGGCAGGAGTTCAGAAACACAGCTGCAGAGCAATCAGAGTTGGGGGAAGGGTCAGCTTGGGCAAAGGGGATTTTCTGAGGCAGCTTGTCCCTAACAGAGACCAACCTGGCTAATATCGCGAAACCTCGTCTCTTCTAAAAATACAAAAAATTAGCTGAGTTTGGTGGCAGGTGCCTGTAATGCCAGCTACTCAGGAGGCTGAGGCAGGAGAATTGCTTGAATCTAGGAGGTGGAGGTTTCAATGAGAGGACAGCATGCCATTGTACTCCAGCCTGGGCAACAAGAGCAAAACTCCATCTCAAAAAACCAAAACAAAAACACAAAAAAACAAATCCAGTATATCTCAGTCCAGAACACAGAATTTAATAGAGATGAAACGGCTGCATTTGGCAGGAGCAAACAGCGGAATCTCTTGGGTTTTGGTTTCTAGCTGGTGCCAGTCTTCGAGATGGTAACCTCCTGCAATGGATGAGAAAGAAGTGCAGTTTTTGCACTGCCACTGCTTGACTTTATTATACAAATCTAAGATACATTGTTGTTGCCTGGATACAAGTGTTTGTTTCCTGCTATAATACAAACAACAAATTAATTTTAACTAGCAATGTGTCAGAGGACTTGA